TAACATCGCGAAGTAAGTTATGTCACGTCGTAACTTTGATGATCATTTGGAAGTGTTATTTGTTTGTTCATTACTGTAAATGTAAATGTTGTAGAAGCTGATGGTCGAAATAATATCAAGCAATCCACCAAATAATTACGTGGTCGATTTTTTGAAGGAGAATGTTTTGAAGTAAATAAGATCATGAATGTCGTGAACATAATCCTGAATGAAACATTTCAAATGCGTTTCATTTAACCTTTTACAATTTATTGTTGTTTTTAGTCCGCAGCATTTGCATTTTGAGAATGTTTCATTTTTAAATTCAAACTCTTCTAAAAATTCAAACTTCTAAATTGTGAAACGTAATATTTTGACTCCAATAAAAAAATATTTGCACTGTGACCAAGCTCATTAATATTACAAAAGTGTCAAAAGAAAAGTGTTTATAACACTGTGTGAAGCAAATAAATATGTGTTGTTTATTGTGTGGGTGTAAATGTGCTTTGGTCAATTTCTTTTATTATTATGTAAATAATATGCAAATTATATGCAAATTGGTCCACCACAGTGGTTTAAATTCCTTGGGAGAACACTGAAAAACGTTCAAATCCTTTTTGAGTCACGCAGTAATTTTAAAATAATTTTTTTCGCTCTTGTATATAAACTTTGAATAGTTGCTATCACACGCATTTTCCCCTTCATCTAAATCTCACGATTTCGCAAGATTGGTGTAAGCAGTTTTCATAAAATAAAACAGACTTTAACTTATGAAAGCAGAAGGTCTCCTTTAGCCAAACATCACACATGTAAACATGAATGTACTTTGACTTTGAAAAATAGGTCTTGTACAAAAATGACATGTATACACCTAAAGACACTTTTCGTTGCATGATTTCATATTTATGAAAATCAACATATTTATTTCATAAATAATCATAAAAGTTACATGCATATATTCTTTATTTGAACAAAATGTGGTGAATCACCACATAATTTTATGCAAATTACAGAACATATGCAAATATGGTGTGACAGTGGTGAAAGCAAAATGAGTGAAACAGAAATGAGGATGCCGCCAGTGTAAGAAGTGTGAACTTGATATTATCAGCCAAACCAATCACAGACTATGTTAATTAACATACAAACAGCAGAAATTCAAATAAATAAATTAGTTACCTTTATAAATATTAGTAACTATGCTTTTCTTCCAGTTATAAGATTCCAGGTTTTCAGTGATTTATCTTTCCCTATTGTCATGGCCATTTTACCAGAAGGATGAACAGTCAGTGAAATTATGCCACCACTACGAACATAGAAAACAAAAATATTCAATTTGTATGGCAGCTTTTTCTCTGGTTTCTAGAACATATTAGTTGTTACAAAATACAATTTCAATTACGATGACTTCAGTGATCTTCATTGTATCTGACCATTGACTTTTGCTAAACTTTTGAGTGATACTCAAATGCACATGGATTCATAAAAATTGACAGTTCTGGAAGGCAAATCACCAATTATTATAGAATACTTTATTTTCGCTTGGAGTTATTTTTTATATTTTCGATGAAGGAATAATTCAGTGAAAATAAAATCCAGCAAATATACCTTTTTTCCTATATTTTAATTCAACTCGTCAAAAATCGGTGAAAATAAATTCCATACAAAACACCTGAAAAGTCTATTCAGCACCAAACCAGTACAACAGGTAAAATGACAAGGAAGTATACAAATCAGATCTGCAAATATGTAGTCAGTGTTGTGTCTGTTTGGATAAACTAGTTTGTGGCCCTGGATTAGTTTCAATATCTCTAATAAGGACAAGATTATTTCTCATACGACAATGATACAAATAAAGTGCAAAAACCCAGAAAAATATTATCAAGTTTTTATTATCATACATTAATATTAACAAATCGTGTGAAATTTTATGTACAGAGAAACACAGATTTATGCTTTGGTTGACAGAACTTCTCAAAGTAAACAAGACATGACATGTCATGTCATAGCCCCCCGCTCAGAAAAAAATTTAAAAACTTATATTGAACTTAGTTTGTGTCAGAGTGAATTAATTCATTATGAGCTGTATTAAAATTCTGTTCAGAATTGATGTGTTACAATTTTAGGGGGGTGGGGTAAAAATTTATTCATTTGGCTTTTCTGAGACAATTTATAACTTGTTAAACATATAATGCGATGTGCACTTGTAAACAATTATTACCTGTCCCTGTACCAACTTTGAACAAAACTGGATGACACGCATCTGAGAAAAAGCTGTAACAGCTAGAAAAAGCTTGTTTTTTTTAGATTTTGAGGGAAAAAATGGCCTCCAAGTCGTAAAACTTTATCCAATCAAACAGGTCATGAATGACAATCCTT